AACGTGGAGTTTTTATAAAGAGTGCCAAAAGTTCCCAAGGACCACTGGGTGAATAAAATTTCAACGTGTTGAATCACCATAAAAAACCGCCGTGCATATTAAATGTATTTCTAATAACTAATAACAAGAGAGCTATGCTCAAATTATGAACACGTCACAAGGTGTCGCTGTTTTTCATTCTGACACATGAAAAACGAATTTCTTGAAGTCCACAGACATTTTTGAAATAAGTAAAAGTAATAGCCTTCTGGCAATTAATCAATCTTTACCCACTGAAAATTTCAAAGCAATTGGTCCTGTGTTTGAAGAGAAAAGCGAATTCATCATGACGAAAGAGAAGAATAATACCAATACTAACAAGAACAACAACATAATATTGAAACGATCGTAATGTACACTGACGTGTCCAATTACAAAACCTGTTGTGTGGCGTAATCGAACCGACGAAGACGGATTTTGATTTTAAATACTTCGCAATGAATTATTCAAAACAGCAAAAGATTGTATGAATATTATAATAATAGATAATAAGACAAAGCTGCAGCTTAAATTGTTCGTCACCGTCAGCCAATAAATGTTAAACTAGTGAATAGATAAGTCAACAATTTCAACATGGTTCGTTCTGCAAGGATATATAATTGGACTTACCATTTCGATAAACCCCGCTCAACGAAGACTGCCGCATTCGCATTAGAAAATAAGAGCTAATATAAAATAAAATCATAACAACAAAACAAAAAACTCCATCCAATTGAATAGTTTCGTACCCATGCCGTGTTTTACGTGGATGTAAATAACGTGATCAAGTATGGGGGAAGACTTTAGTACATTTCAAACTTAATGATTGAATGGTGACAAAAAATAGTTTGCATTTTTGACATATTAATAGTTTAGTAGATGATGTGCAACATATTTGCCTATAGTTATATTTCGCTTGTCATGTCATTTCTAAAATACCTAATTGGAGTTTTGATTGATGAAGTAGTGTATTTTTACTAATTTGATGTTATTGGCATCAATGCGGAAACAATTTTGTGAAAGTACATTTAAAAAATGAATATTTCTATCCGTGAAATCATTTATAAATTTTAATCTGATATATGTATATATATATATATATATTTTGCCAGGACAATGTATGTAAACATACAGTTTCTCCACAATACGTTTTATGCACTACATCCTCTAACTTTTTCGTAATGGTTTCTCGTATGACTGCGCATATCACTGCCTGGCATGCCAACAATGGCCGACATATTGAATATATATTTAAAATATAGGCTCACCATAATATTTGTAATATTTTTGGTTAGACTAAATTAAGTAGGTCATCAGAGCAGATTTCTGATGTAGAATCCCAGGAGTGCCAAGAGTTAGGTTGAAATCGATTAGGATTTAAAATGAATTGTCTTAGGGGATCTCATGAGCTCGTAAATTAGTCTACCGTAATTGCGTGTGCATTTACAATTTCGAAGTACGGGGTTTTGATACTCGTAAATATATTATGGATGAACCAAAAAATAATTCCAACAAGTTTTGGAATAGCATTATTTGATTTTTGAATATTCAGCTTGTGACAAAACTCCCTTGCCTCTTTACTATTATCAGGACTTCAATTTTCTAGACTAACTTCTGGCTGTTACACTGATCTGGGGATCGCGGTTGGAGTACGCATTCATTTGCCCCCTGTCAGTATTTTGTGAATGTCGGCAGCGGGAGGTTCAATCTTAAATACACTAAAAAGTCTGGCGGAACACGGAGTTCAAATTGCTAACGGTGATATTTTAATATAGTATACAAAAGGGTGGTCCAAACCCAGGCCCGCAGGACACATGTTGTCCGCTGCTTCATTATCTGTGGCCCGCGTCGCATTCGGAGAAGAATCAAAAAAATCGCATTTCGTATTGTTTCGTCATAAAATTAACCAAAAAACTTTTGACATATTGTTGCATCACTAATGTCACTGAATTGACTAGTGTTATGACTTGCTGAGGCAACTAGCGAAGTTCCTGGCGCTATTGTCGCCCGCGAACAATGCAAAAGTAATTTTGTGGCCCGTGGAGCTGCCAATCTTGGACCACCCTGGTATATATATTTGTTGAAAACTGAAGGTTTCTTTTATAATGTTAATGTTTAAAATACCGACATACTGGGGTTTTCGTGTTACTAGGGTAGAATTACTTTCTAGGTTTTACAAAGAGCTAAAAACATCAAGTCAAATTATTTGAAATTTGTTTGGTAAAATACGCGAAATGTAGATACTTTTTGTAGCAATTTAATAAAATCTGCAAAAGCGAAAAATAAAAGCAGCATAGTTATAAAAAACAAATTCTTCTATATATTTTCATATATACGAATATGACTCTAGCTTCAAAGCTGGGCTTCAATTAAAACTGCTAAACTATTTCTATCAAAATAGTAAATCGTAGCGATTTATCTGCTAAAATAGTAAATATTACTTTGACAATTCACACACACGCTTGCTATGTAACAAGGCGTTCTGAAATATATTTTGCTAGAATTTTAAATAGCTTTTCGATGATTAAAACCTGTATCTTACATTTTGAATGATTCTCTAAAAATTTTTTTTTCCAAGAATGTCTTGCAGGCTAATGAGATGTGGTAAAAGTTATGTCAAAATCTGAAGTAATTCCATGTTCGTTCTCAGTAAAATAAAAGCAAATGAAAACATTTCGTATGTTAACAGATTTACGCAATTGACTGTGCATTACGACGTAAGATTAATACAAAATACATTATGATCCTTCTCTATCGTATATTATAATATGATAGACACCCACGCGTAATATGAATTAGGTCACGATCGTAGATTTTGAAATATTCTGTTCAATAGTAAAAGCATTCCTTGCCAAAATTCGTATAATACAACAATGTAATAATAAGTTACTCTTAAGCGTCAACAATTTGAATTGACAACTTCCGTGCGTCATAGATTTTGGAAGTTTACATTATGAGATCGCAATCATTGGTATCTCATTTTACTTCGGTACCTATTACCTGTTATTCACTTGAGAATAAAATTTATTTTTGCTAATTTGGACTATCTTGATGGAATTTTCAGCCAACACATCTTTTCCACTTCTCTCACCTCTCTTTCATTTGATAAATGTTATGTTTTATTTGAAAATTCTCGGTTTGTTATACAATAAATAAAAAAAGGATAATTTTTCTCTAACACATGTTACAACCTGACTCCAAACTTATGCATGAGAATAAGGTCATGCTCATTTTTTATATATATTCCAGAACACCTTGCTCACCCAAAAAGCTTGTGTGTGAATTGTCAGAGTAATATTTACTGATTCTGGAAAAAATCACCACGTTTTACTTATTTGCTACAACTAAATGATCTTTGGTAATGAAAGTCAGCTCTGCAGCTGGAGTCATCTCTGGATATATGTGAATATATTGAAGAATATGGTGCCAAGCTAGACTGCTTTAACTTTACATCACTATTTTAGCTTATAATGAATTTCAATGAAAAGCATCTACACTTCGCATATTGGAAGAAAAAATTCTTTGAGCTTCTAATGTGTAACAAGATCTAATTCGTTTGTTGCTGTTTACTACTTTAGTTATATATTAGAATCCTAGGATCTACCTCCGATATAAATCAATATATTAATCAGAAGTTATACGTGTTCAATTGGGAATCCTATTAATTGATATAGCAGTTTGATATAACAAGCTTTTCACAATCTTTTAAGATTTTGTAGCTCCGTTTAAATAAACATATGATAACTCATCAATCAAATTGTAAAAAGGACAAGATAAAGCATAAAGTATATGGGATTGTTGCGTGTTCTTTCCCCTCCTACTACCCTCAATTTCTCTGACATTTTGGCTTAGGTCATTTTATTTAAATGGGCTTGGGGTTTCTCAATATAGCGGTCGGATAATTTATTTATCTTTATTTCTTACTTTTTCGGGAAGCAGGTTTTTCTTTGACCAATCAAATACCAGTTTTCTCGTTTTCGATAGGAGGAATTTGAGATGCGCACGATAATTGTTTATTTCATCGACACTGTTATTTAGGTCAAATATCTTGTAAAGTTTTATGAGATAACCTAGTTTATGTTGAAAATATCGATGTTTTCATTGCCCCAAGAATATGAATCATTGTTTTATACTGATGAAAAATTACAGTTGGTACGCCGAAAATCAAGGTTCTCAGCCAAAGATTAACTTGTGTAATATCCGATAATTCCAAAGTGGCAAATTGAAAATTTGCTACGAATAAAATCCAGTAAGTAATTCTACCCTGGTAACATGAAAGGTTCAGTATGCCTGTATATTAAACATTAACATTATTGAAGACACCACTTTTTTAACTAATATATATATATATATATTTAAATAATACGCCCAGTAGTTTAAAACTATTTTCTTACTAAAATTTTCTCCTACATGTTCTTTCACATGAAGCGCCCTGCCGAACTTTATCAGTGGATTTGAGATTGAAATAGGCCTGGTTTGAATTATTTTCTTACTAAAATTTTCTCTCACATGTTATTTCAATAAAATGATTGTGACCTCGGGATCAGTGTAACAATCAACAGATACTTCAGGAAGTCAAATCTCTAGCGGGAAGGTTACATTCGCTGAGTCTCTAGTGGGATATTTGAAAAATAAATAATGAGCTATTTCAGAACATAGGTCAGTGAGACGAAAAGGTTTATTCAATTATAATTTCTGTTATCAATAATTAGGTATAAATATTTTACATAATTTACGATGATCTTTGGCAACAAACTTATGATATTTAGGTTAAAAATATTGGTCTTATAAAAAATAAGTCAACATACTTTATGCAAAACCCTAAAAACATTTTTGACGATTTGAAACTTGAATTGATCGACTAATTAACCTGAATGATGGATGAAGCCGTCATGAATATTTGCACTTGAAGGCCAATACAAATTAATTCTCGTTTGAAATAATACGCAATGAAGTCGAAATTAAAAATGTTAACAGTCCAATCCAAGCGAAAAATATTCACAGACAAATATTAGCGAGAACTACCAGGATTTTACTTTTGTTATGGTCATGTTGGGTTTTCAATTCTATTATTTTTCAAATCTCTTGCATTTTATTTTGAGTACGAAACTTTTCAATTGGGAAATTGTAACTTATTTGCAAGTTATAGTTTTGTAAATCGGACTTTCCATTCTAGATTTTCGTCAATTTGATGTCATACTGTCACGACACTTCTTCTCCTGTACATTGGAAGTCCCACCGCAGTTTGCGTTTTTTGCAATAAAGTTGCCGTTTACTTAAAAAAATAGAATTATTCGTATTTTCGGTTATAGAATCAATTTTTAGTAATGGGACAGTTTTCATTGAAGTGTTGCTAAAATTGTAGTCCTGTTTTGATAGAAATAAAACTTTCTAATGTTCTGTTCCCTATGATTACTGGTACCGAATTATCTAATTACAAATAATCAAACTTCCCAACTTACCATTGATTTCAGGTTGATTATCTAGTAAGAAAGAAACATATTTTCAACACAATATTTCATTACAAATTATCTAATATTATTTATCCATTAGTAATTTACCAAACTATAAAAAAAAATCAAAAGCATGCAATTCTAGGTCAAAATGCGAGCCATTAAAAAATGAAGACTTCTGACACGAAAAAAATCGAAAAAAATTCAGATATAATTTCAGTTGAATAGGTATATTTTAGCTCCAGTTTCAGACTCCAAAAAAGAAATATTTTATTTAAAAAGCTGTTTTCGATTTTCTGTTAAATATGCTTCAGTCAGCCAATTTAAGGTATTTTATGTTCTACCAGAAATCCGATCAAAACTATCAGAAGTCTAAAATTGAATACTGTTGGCGACATTGTTATGATATTGATTCAACTCAATTGATTATCATCACTATTGATTGTACTAGAAATCACGAAAATTTAATAATGACGTAACAATGAGACAAGGCTGCCAAGCAGCTCATAGGTTCAACTTACTTTTTTGGTCAAACAGTTTGGTCATTAACAATTGGTTGTATTCTCCTGAAAGAAGTCAAAAACTGATTAAATTTACCTAGGAAACAGAATGGTTATGTAATGTTAACCTCCAGTGTAGAACCCTAGAAAAAGTTGCCTGGTGTAAATGGAGGGAATGATGCCAAATGAAAGTTTGATTCCACAACATCTTGATCTATTACGTTGAAATATGAATAAATTAAATGAATTAAGTTTATTTAATTTACATCAGTACACCTCCATATTGTATGCCACGTTTTTTTAGTTTTACCAACTTACTTTTTTCATTTTCAAACTCTTTTTTGCCGGTATCTAAAAAATCAGAAACAATTTAAAAATAAATTTGGACCAGAAAATTAACCATATATATTTATATAAATGTATTTTAGAATATTATAAATTTGTAATAAAATATTTGGTAAGTTTGATATAATTAGCGTATGCCCGTTACAATGCTAAAGTAATGTATTTTTGTTAAAGGTAACAAAAGCAGTTTTCATGAGCATTCAGAAGATTCATAATCATTTAGCACATACCCAGTTGTTCTTTCAGTGACTGAAACAATTAAAATTGAAGTTAATAAAAGAGTAACAAAATACATGGTACCGAAATACTATAAACTCCTTTTGTGCTGCACTAAATACCAAATACCATGGAAGAATTACGTGGTGGTGCTTTTTATGAACGTGAAAATTTAAAACGCTTTTAAAAGAAATTTCCATCTCAATTACGATATAACGGCTATTTTTGGTTGCCTCCTAAACAATAACGATTCAACAAAGCAATGTTTATCAAACACATTTTTTGGTGATACGTTTCGATTTACAAATAACGAAATCTTACGTTTATTGTCGAAGTGATTAAATGAAAAACGGAAATGAAAGCATTCCAGTTCATATCCTTGTCTGATAGTCGCCTGAAAAAGATTGTAGGAAATGCATCGTAATACTGAGCAATAGAGTATTGTTCCGAAATATGCACACAGAGGCCAAAACTGCGTAGGCTACTGTAGTACGCGTATCTAACTTTTTTATCGAAAACTACCAGTGCCGTAGTCTCCCCGATTTCGACGGACCCTCAACAACAGCATTGATCGCAGGTCGGAAGCGTCATAGGGTACGCAATTTTTTAATTTTGATGACGTCGTCGCACACAAAAAACGAATCAAATAGAGCCCACATAAATTTTGAATTATATAAAACTGATATCCTTCTAGTGACAACAACAATTTTTACCCACTGAAAAATTAGAAAAAAATGGTCAAGTAGATTAAGCGTTTTTCACAAGAAATACAACAACAAGGGAATAAAGTCAAGAACAAAAACGTAATGACAAAACGACCCCCTGGTTCACCTCATGTCCAAATTTTAGTCTTTGAGTTAAAAGAAATGAAATTGAAATTCAACATTCATACCTATGGCAACGTCCACATGGATTATATCGATGACTTTTCCTTCTGTGTCTGGATCGACGAGAGCTGTTGAATTCTTTCTGTAAAGTAAGAAATACAAAAACATGACCACATTAAAATAAAACAGATGGATTTCTGTATATTTCGAAAAAATTGGTCGTAGTTTGTCGAACCAATGCATATACCAATTCAAACCAATCTAAAAATCTACTTAGTGTTCATAAAACTAACCAGGGCTATGAAGTTTTACATTTTAGGCTGGGAGCAAGCGAGAAACAACTTGAAGTCAAATTTTACAACATCTGTTTAAAAGCAGAACTCATAAAACACATTTAAAATTCCCCGATGAAACTAAAAAAAAAATCTTTATTATTTCAAACAACGAGTCCCGAGTCGAAGCCAGTAATTTTTGAACCTTGAAGATTTAAGGGTTGTAGGATTAGTATTCTTCTTTAAAACTATCCCCAATTACCTCGGTAGATGTATAGTAGTAAGAGCTTGTCGATGAATCACTTCCTATTCCACTTGAACGTTCATCTGAACTCACCCTGTGCACTTCTTTTGGCAAAGTTTTCTAAAGAGGAATTGTAGATTGCAAATATTAATCGAAAACATTTCGACTTGTAATTGCAATAGACTAAAACTGGTATTGAGTTCTATCAATCCCTATTTCTTAACAATTTTATTTCAAACTTGGATCCATATTTAAGCACTATAGAAATAAACATTTCTTGATTTTTTTTCTTTTTATTCGATTATTCAAAAAATTCATATGTAATCAATATTTTACCTGATATATCTTGGTGAGTTCTGATGAATTCAAAATCAAATTACTTACTTTAGTGTTTTCTTTGTTGTTCATTTTTCGATGATGTTTAGGATCAGGTTCTCTGAAATTTAAATAATTATTGCACTGGGAACCGATCTACCAAACGTGCTATATGAATGCTTACCAATTTTATTTGCATTACGATAATAACGTTGTGGGTATTCATTTATACAAATACTGTTTGTAACTTCAAATCTACGAATATAGGTATTTAGAAAAATCTTATTCCAATCAAAAAGCTTTATTTTTATCATCATTTTTCTTTATCAGTTTATACAAAGTGAGAAGAAATGAAGAGAGATAAAAAAAAAATGCTGATTTAAAGTATGAAAAGTCCTATACAGATTGATTAGAAAAAAATAAAACCAGTAAATAATCTTGGAAAACAATCGTATAAATAACATTATAAAACATACGTCCTTGTTTTTCTTCTCTTTTAATGGGTAGCTTGTTACAATTCTTCTGTAATTAAACGTAATAAAAAGTATGGTATTGTGATATCATAGTTGTAGTTATGATATCGCACTATTTATCTTGAAACGCTAGCTGGCACCGTTGTTTATATAACGTAGTAACGCACACCAAAATGCTTTGCAATTTTTTTGCAAAGAAGTTCTAGCAACCAACTAATCATGAAATTTAATTAAAGTTTATTAAACTAAAATGTTTACGTTTTTGGTGATCGAAACGTAGTGATTTCCAAATACTATATCAATAAATGTTGGTCTAATCAGAAAAAAGTATATAATACAGTACAAATAATTACCATGTGAGTACTGTCAGAGTCGGTGGTGTCACCATAGATAGAATCACTGTCTGTTTCTGTCGAATACCGTTTTGAACTTGATTGTATTTTCTGTCAGAGACGGGATGCCTATAAAATTAAGGCAAAAGTCAATATTCATCGATAAGTATAAGATTTTGGCTCGATGATTAAGTCACATATTTTGATCAAATATTTCATCATTAGCTCTTATATTTTTGTTATTAAACACTGTTATAACAACAACTAATAATATTAAAAAATATATTTAAAGTAGAAGTTCACAAGAATACGCAAAATTAAATTTATATAATCACTTACTTTGGCTTTTTCTTTGTTGCTTGTTTTACTCTCACAATTAGTATATGATTCTCTGAAATATATCAATAAGACAAACTTTAATATTTTCAGGCACAGAATATTTTGTTCGGAATATCATTTTTAGTATTTTCATTGAAATATACAAAAACCGGTATGGAAATTCTGGCAAGTCCTTTTCCAAACTTGCTCTATTGCTAAACAATTTTATACCCATTACGCCAATTTTAAAGTGTATGTTTATACAAATACTGACTGTGATTTGGGTTTATCAGTTTTAATTTTATTTTTTATCAGTTCATATACATCAAAATCGGAAGTAAGTATAGTTAAAAATGTCGTATAAAATGACATTATAATACGTACTTTCTTGTTTTTGTTTTCTTTTTGACTGGTATCTTGTTAGACGTTTTCTGTAATTCAAACATACTTAAAAATCAAATTTACTATCTGTTGTATTATTGTTGATTGTCGCTTAGTAAAAGCGTTTCATTCTATATATTAATATGCAAATAGTTACCATGAAAGTGTTATCCGAGTCGGTAGTGTCACCGTAGCTTGAAAACGAATTACTGTCTGTTTCAGACGAATACCAATAACTAGAACTGTATTTTCCGTCGAAGTGGGTTGCCTATAAAATTAAAACAAAGGTAAATTTTCATCGATTAATATGAAATAGTGGTTCAAAGATTGAGTCAAATATTTCGCTTCGGGAAAAATAAAAAACACTTTATATAATATAACATGTCTACATAATTTTGAAAAAAAAAACATTACCATTATATAAGTTTATTACTTACTTCGTCGGTCTCTTTTCGGGATCGACGTTTTGTCTTCGTTCTTGGGACCTCATTGTTGGATATTATTTCTGATTCATGAGCATCCTTTTTTGTAAAAATGCATGGTAATACAAAATGTTTGCGTAACCAAGTGTAGAATAATATATCAAAACTGATGAATCTTTGAACTATGTAGTAATCTACAATTGCAAAATATGCGTTTTAATATGTATTGTATCATTAATTAAATGGTGAAAAATAATTGAAGTACCAAGGTTTTTAATATAGAAATTTGACAATGATGAATTCAGTATCAGTTTTCGGTCGAAATATATTGTTCACGATTTCATTGTAAAATCGGCTATTCAATGGCATCCAACACGTGCGCAGTTGATTCTGTTTTTCTTTATGATATCTCAAAGTAAAATTTGCACATCGAACACAGAAAATTTGTCACATAAATGACATTTAATAATGGAATCGGGTTTTACTAAAATACTACCATTTGTTCGGACCATGCTGAATATCTCTTGCAGCAGATCGATAATGAACGATCTCGATTCGTGAATAATTTTGAGCGATACCAGGGTAAGATCAAGCGGAATGGCTTTTGTAACCATTGTGGCGTAACAAGCTAAAATTATAAATTATTACGTGAAACGTCACGCTGCGGTTAACCGGTTAACCGGTTCGTTTTACCCGGTTAACGGTTAAAGGGTTTTCCCTGAAATTCCAAGCCCTAATCAGAGCTATTTTCTTAAATATAAATTATGCATTATTTCATGTTAACACATTTTTATTGGGTAATATTGAGGATTATATTTGTACATTATCGCTGTTACCTACACTGCTTCACTTTATTATCTTTTGTTTTGGATTTTAATCTTGAAAAAATGCAGCTTATATATTACTATATATCGTCACGCTAATACCCGAATTGCGTAAGTCATTTTTAGCAGTTTTGAGAAAAACGTAAAAAACTTCCTAATGATATTGTTATGCCATTGAGAGTCAATAATTTGCCATGGTTCAATTTTTTGATTGTAGCCGGATTTAAGTTAATTTGCATGACGCAGTTAAGTGACGTCACAATGGCGCACTGTGACTTAGGCAGAAATGTGTATATGACTTGGGGACATACGCAATTTTGCAACTTTACTATATGCACCAGTCCTGAAAACTAAACATTTCAAAAACGAATGTAATTCTCAGTATCCACAATGTCCAATCCCCAAAATAGCTAATCAGTTTCAATTACATTATTTTTTATGTTTAAAAATATATATATTTCATCAATATAGCACGTTCTGCACACCCACCGAAATAGGATTAAGATTAAATATAAAGAATAAAACAGCAATGCATCCAATATAAAAGCCAACCAAGGTGAATTGGACTCGGACAGTCAATATCACAAGTACACGCCTTCCAATACTGTAGTATAAATTCAATTAATACGCGCTAAGCTAGAATCCGAGATGCAAAAACTCGAAAATACGTCGCCGAGGTTATTTTGCCTTTGTGACCTCACAATAGTCAAACGGTAACAATTATAATTCATTATAACGAAACAATTTCACAAATGTGCATGTCATACTAAATCTCCATTTTTATGGGTTTCAGAATTCTTAAAATAAATTCTGAGTTAACAGACAGGTGCGCAGCTTTACATAAATACCTATTTTATAGAAAACCTAAAATCGCCAAAATGACTTACGCAATTCGGTTATTAGCGTGACGGTATGTTTATATATATATATATATGTAACCTCGAATCGTTTTATATAGTTTCAGAAGTTGAGGTTCTGATAACATTGCATAGGCAATTGACAAAGACAGAAATCTTACCTACCAAGCACTGGCATAGATACTCAATTTGGTACAAATTGCGTGAACGGTTAAGATCTGAACTATAACCCGGAATTTTTGTGATGCTAAATAGCTAGAAAAACTTGGCTTCATAAATATGAGTTTGTGCAACTTATTATTGTTTATTATTTGCTAATTTTAAAAACAATTATAAGCATACTGTGATGTTCTTAATTCCGATGCCGGTTGCCATGTTTTTGCCAGCGCTGTCATCCTTGGGAAGTTCTACTATAGTTTTCTTTCCATTTTTCTTTTCAAATATAATTACCTCTTTGTCATCAAGCTGTATGCAAAGATGGATTCATCACAGAAAATTAATCATGAAATAAAATATCGTGAATTAAAACAAAAAGTTGATTAAACTTTTGAAAATTAATTTTTAGTTTAGTTTCTATAGATACAAAAAAGATGTTTCAATATAATAATTAGAAAGCACTCGAATATATCATCATTTTTAATAGACTTAAATTCAATACAGATAGGGCTATTAACACAATAAATTATGCATGGGTAAAACAGTTATACATGTATTGATGTACTTGAGTGACTCTTATCTTCTGCATTATATGTCACTTGTGTTGTATGTAAATGAATAGGTTTTGAGCACGTAAGTAATGGAAGCCATGTAAGTAATAAGAGCAATGTATAAGTATATTTGGATATTAAACAAATCTTCTAGTGTTCAGCACAAAAATAAATATTTAGTTGTTATGACTGAAAAAACAATGTATTGCTAAGTCACTTTAGAAAATAATTTAAAACAATTTCCGGGCAACAATGCATCTCTAAAAGTATCTTACAGTGTACCGTCAACACAATTTTTCTCCGTCTATAATGAACTGACAGCGGATCTGCATTAAAATCTGAAGTTTTTTCAAATTTTAACTTTATCTAATGATTTGATAGATAAGTAGTTCCTTAAGTAAAATACTTATACTACCTCATAAATCTTGAGAAGAAATTGCTAATACCGCATATCTGATACTCAATCTAAATTCAACATCATCCAACAACAAATCCAACATTCTTTTTGTGAAAAAGTAATGCGTACGAAAATTTTTCGCTATATAGGATATAAGAAAATGTCCAAATATCATTTACACAAAAAACCTCTGCTTCTGGTATAAAATCTTTTTTTTCTTTCTCCGTTCTTACGTTTCTTTTATTTACAATATTGGTTGTTGTGATATTTTCAGTCAAATGAAGGTCATTGTCATATTCATCAATTACATCCTAAAATGGAATAACACTTGTCAATAATCTTATTATTGAAAGATGTTGAACGTAGAAAATATTGAGATGAACAATATGTTTCAATTAACGTTAGATTATCAGCAACATGCAACTATTTTTGATGCAAATCATTCTTTCCATTCAAAACACATTGTTATATTAATTTTTACATTGTCATCGAGAATTCAACTTAAGTCATTTTAATGTGTTCGTAATGCAACGATTGCCATCATCCAAAAATATTGGTAATTATCTATCTTGGTTACTCCCCTTATTTTTAGTTGCATGAAAATGTGCTTTATTTTTATGGGCTATTATGTTTTAGAAATTTAGAGACATTTTTATATATTACAGAATTCCCCTGGTCAACAGAAAGCTCGATATTGTTTTATTTGAACATTTAAGGCATTCTGGACAGTGGAAAAAATCTATCTATTTGATTTGAGTTATAGTTAATCTTAGTAAATCATACCAAAACATCTTCTATTGTAATGATCTCATTTTCATCCGATTCTTTTTGTTCAAGTAACAGTGCGTTCAGAATTGATTATTTCATTTTTCCATAAGTTCCGAGGTATCATATCCAATATTCAAATCCTAAAACCAGATGTTATTTTCTTTATTACATGTTTAATATTTCCAATAATATCCATGTCTGATAGGTAATTGATTTGTTTTAACATTCATATGCTAACGAAAAGCAAACCGGAAACACTATCTTAATCTTATACGGGCAGGGGCGATACGCCAACTTCGCTTAGCAATTCCTGCACAAATTCATTTTAAAATGAAGCAACTTAAAAACATTTATTGAAGATATGTTGTTGTGTTTATTACTTGGTGGTAACTTGTTATTTACCAACACCACTGGAACAGGAATATTCACTTAAAAATAATATTTTATCATACCAAGTTTTCGTCTTCTTTTCCAGTATTGCAATCGGCATCAGTTTTTTTCATTTCATCGCAAGAAGTACACGATTCTTCTTGCGATTGAGTATCTTTCGACTCTTTTTGCGAGGGATGATTATCCTGGCGCCAAAATTATTTTTACATTAGCAATCTGTCTTGATCTCAATAATTGATCACAGATATTAATCATATTTTATGTGAGCTGTAATGTGGAGATTATTTATTAAAAATCTTTTCAACACTAATAACTAAAAATTGTAGAATTAATTTTCAACTTTTAAAATTTCAAAACTTTATTCATATTCGCTCAAGAAATAAACTAAATGATAGGCAATTTACAACACGCAAAGTTGATAATTCTGTAAATTTTTGATGATACGATCAATTTTGTAACTATAGATTTAATAACTGTAACTGATTTGAAAACATTCGTTGAGTTTCGTTTAAAGACAGTATTCGAATATTTGTACCTCGATTTTCATGTTTTTAAAGCCATCGAATATGTTCTCTAGCTCATCAGCATTTCCAACATTCTCAAGTTCATCTTTCTCGTGATCACCAATGTTATCCTGTATGATATAAACTTTATTGGTTGAATACCTAATAGTTGACACTTGTATTAAAGTGCCAATGTTTGGAGAACAACTAATGTTGTTTTTGCGATAACTTACTCCAAACTAAAAAGATACAAAACACAAAGAACAAATTTTATGAATAAAAATAACACTGTATTCTCGAAAAGTCCTTGAATAAATAATCATGCTAATATTAGACACTTAAATTAAAATTTAAAACGTAGAATAATTAACAATTTTCTTACCGCAGCAGCAATACCCTGGAGACCCTTTTGTTTTTTTGGTATTGGCGTTCGATGTCCTTTAGCTTTTCCTGTAAAAATGGATTTTTAATTGACATTGAAGAAATATATTATATTTTTTTAAATAATTTAATTTCGGACTCTCTTACCTTTGGACTTTTTTTGTGATGGTAGTAGCTTGCATATTTTCCCAGAAACTATGAAAAACAAAACTTGTTTTATAGGCAATCAAGAAAAATTGCA